AATTAGCTTTTATTTTTATATTTTTAGTTTTCATTTTAGATTAAGTTTTAGTAATTTTGTTATGTGCTTTTGTCATTTTTTTGTATTTCTATTTTGTTTTAGTACTTAAACTTATTTCAGTAAGTTGCCATGGTAACATTTCTAATTTTCGTTAAAATTTTTCAAGTATTTATATTTTATTTCAGCTTTATTTATTATCGAAAATTATTTTAAATAGTTTTTGTTAACAGTAACAACACTGATTTTCAGTACAGTGTGCTGTAAAATTTAATTAAGCTGACCAGATGTCCCAACAATTCCTAAAATAAAAAATAAAATGGTAAAAATCAATCAATAATAATAATAATAAAGTAACTAAAGATGTATGTTTTATATAAATGGATAAAGTGTAATTTTATTTCATTTGAATAAAATGATTTTTCTCATCAGTTACAAATTAAGACATTTTCTCTATTTTTTTTAGAGTTTTTTTTTTTTAGTTTTAGTTAACAATAACACTGATTTTAAGTAAAATGTGCTGTAAAATTTAATTGAAACTGCAGAGACAAATCAGAAACCATTTGCTGAAGTTGCTCAGTATTCAGGGCTTTGCAAAGGGTCATTTGGCAGGTATAAGTCATTTAGTTTTTTTATTTTTATTTGTATGTTTAAAACATCTGTGGCCCAGTGGGTAATATAACAAGGCATTGTTCTCACGTGGATGTGGGTTTGAATCTGGCCATGTGTCACATTCTTTCACCAAGCTTACTTTGCTTTACTGTCATATTTAATAAAACCAGTAATTAAAATGAATGATAAAATAAATAAAAACAGTATTTTCAGTGCAGGAAAGTGTCATTTAGTGTTCACATCTTTCAAAGACTACATTCATGTGTTACATTTTCTTCGTCACATGTATAAAAACTCCAATGCATTTTCAGTTTTAAGCTGTCATAAGTAAGTAAAAGCCAAGCTTGTCAGGAGTTATTTGAATTAAACATTAGCCGCCCATGTATTTAAGGTGTCAAATGTATTATACAGCATATGTCATGCTGTCTGGGTGTGGGGATAAACATTGTCTAAGCTTTTGGCTTTTAAAACTCCATTTAATTAAGAGGACAAACAAAAGGAAACACCCACTCTCACATTATTACAATAACCTGCTTGATGATGATTGTTCTCTGACGTCAAAGCTGCACATCCGTCCATGAACTGAGAGCAGTCAAGATTAAAAACAAATGTTTGTAAATGACAAATCAGGGTCATTGGGTGAATATGGGTGAATTACAACATACCCAGGTCTCATTTCACCCCAAAATTCTTTAAAAAAAAATTATGTTATATATGTTATACCATATTGTACGAAAAAAAAAACTCTTTGAATTTCATACAGCTATTTGCCAAGGCAACATTTCTCATGTTCATTTAGTTTAAAGGGTTAGTTCACCCAAAAATGAAAATTAGGCTGCGTTTTACTCACCCCCGAGGCATCCTAGGTGTATACGACTTTCTTCTTTCAGACGAATCCAGTCGGAGTTATATTAAAAATTGTCTTTGATCTTTCAAGCTGTTTAATGCCACTCGGCGGGTGTTGCATTGCTTCAGTCCAAAAGAACTTAAATAAAAATCACCCATCCATAAAAAAAAGTGTCTCACACTACTAAAATAACAAACACTAAAACTGAAATAAAAATTATATAAACATTTGACAAAAGTGACAAAAGTGTTACTAAAACTTTAAAATTGAAATGAAAACAAAGAAATATAAAAATAAAAACAAATTCATATTATATTCATATATTAGTATTATAATTAATATTATGGTATTTATTAACGTTCATATAATATTAAAAACTAAGATGTTTCTCGTCTCATTATTTTAATGACAAATTAAATACATTTTGCCCTCAAATTGTTATTACTGTAATGGATCTAGATATTTACTTTTGAGTTTATTGTTTAGAATTTCCATTATTATCAATGGTGAATCTCATTTGATTCTCTTTACTGTAATACAATACAATGATTTTTTTATTTTTATTTAAATTGTCATGAATACATTATCAAGGCACAAAGTATAACAAGTGCTACCATGATGTATAACTTTAATGCTTTATGATTTAAATATATATATATATGACCCTGCCTGTGAAAACCCAGCTAAAGTCATTTTTTTTGTAATTTACTGTTTTCTACATAAAACCAACCTTCATAAAGATGTAGATCATTCTGTGAAAATATAACCTTTATATATTTAATATTGACTGAGTACGGCCATGTCAAAGATTGTAATCATAGTGAAATTAATGGTTGAAATCAAACTTTGATGCTTGTTATCTCATAATTAGGTTGTGAGACTTTAGCCTGGATTTCACAGACAGGGTCACATATATATACACCCAAAAATAAATTTTCTCTACACATAAATACTTCATTTTTTTTGTTTATTTTGATCTTGAGGTGAAATATGAGCTGGACAGGTTTTGTGAGATTCACCCCATTATTCTGGAGGCTGGAGCTTGTCATTGTATAAAAGTGAAGGTTTAACGTTTCAGATAACACTGCAGCGATTAACACACTTGAGTGATGGCTGTTTACATGCATGAACACGTGACCCGCATCCACCCCCGTATCAGATGTGTGCTTCTGCCACAGAATAAAGCCCTGAATGAAAGAGTGATGATCTCTGAAACACTATAAGTTCATCAAAACAGTGGCTATGTTCCTTCCTAGGCAGTAAGATCATGCTGCCTCTTAAGATGCCTTTTGTTGGCCAAATTATAAGGCAGCATCACATGTATCTTTTGCAGAAAAGACAATCACGACACTTTGCCACTTGCTCAGCATAAATGAATAAATAAATAAAATGACATATGAAATAAAGATAAATGTAATGAAATATATAATTAATTCAATAGTGTGTTATTTTTAGTACTATAGTATTTATTAATATTTTGAACTGAGTGGCATTAAACAGCTTGAAAGATCAAAGACAATTTTTAATATAACTCCGACTGGATTCGTCTGAAAGAAGAAAGTCGTATACACCTAGGATGCCTCGGGGGTGAGTAAAACGTAAAAATTAGTAAAATTACTTCTGAGTTTATTGTTTAGAATTTCCATTATTATCAATGGTGAATCTCATTTGATTCTCTTTACTGTAATACAATACAATGATTTTTTTATTTTTATTTAAATTGTCATGAATACATTATCAAGGCACAAAGTATAACAAGTGCTACCATGATGTATAACTTTAATGCTTTATGATTTAAATATATATATATATGACCCTGCCTGTGAAAACCCAGCTAAAGTCATTTTTTTTGTAATTTACTGTTTTCTACATAAAACCAACCTTCATAAAGATGTAGATCATTCTGTGAAAATATAACCTTTATATATTTAATATTGACTGAGTACGGCCATGTCAAAGATTGTAATCATAGTGAAATTAATGGTTGAAATCAAACTTTGATGCTTGTTATCTCATAATTAGGTTTTGAGACTTTAGCCTGGATTTCACAGACAGGGTCACATATATATACACCCAAAAATAAATTTTCTCTACACATAAATACTTCATTTTTTTTGTTTATTTTGATCTTGAGGTGAAATATGAGCTGGACAGGTTTTGTGAGATTCACCCCATTATTCTGGAGGCTGGAGCTTGTCATTGTATAAAAGTGAAGGTTTAACGTTTCAGATAACACTGCAGCGATTAACACACTTGAGTGATGGCTGTTTACATGCATGAACACGTGACCCGCATCCACCCCCGTATCAGATGTGTGCTTCTGCCACAGAATAAAGCCCTGAATGAAAGAGTGATGATCTCTGAAACACTATAAGTTCATCAAAACAGTGGCTATGTTCCTTCCTAGGCAGTAAGATCATGCTGCCTCTTAAGATGCCTTTTGTTGGCCAAATTATAAGGCAGCATCACATGTATCTTTTGCAGAAAAGACAATCACGACACTTTGCCACTTGCTCAGCATAAATGAATAAATAAATAAAATGACATATGAAATAAAGATAAATGTAATGAAATATATAATTAATTCAATAGTGTGTTATTTTTAGTACTATAGTATTTATTAATATTTTGAATTAGCTTTTGTTTTTATATGTTCAGATATTTTTTTCTATTTCACTTTTAGTTTTAGTAATTTTATGTTCTTTTTAACACTTTTGTTTAGCTTTCGTTTATTTAATTTTTATTGTTATTTTTTATTATTAATTTTAGTACTTATTAATATTCAACTTATTAGCACTTCAACTTATTTTCAACATTTCTGCTTGTTTTTTAAGTTCTAATAAATATATTTTATTTCAGCTTTTCAGTTAACACAACATTTTTTTTTAGTTAACAATAACAACACTGATTCAATATTATAAAGACCATTTTACAAAATACATTACTACAAGCTTGGTGATAAAAACATTAGAGATGGTGGCCAAAATGAGGAAAAGTATATGGACATAATTCATTCAATACAAAGAAAGACTATTTTACCCAATATTTGTGTGACTATATCATTGCTATCTTAGCAACATAGCACTATCTCTTGAATTAAAACAGTCAAGTATCCCATGTGCTCTGCATAAGAAACAATGTTGATATAACATAGATTTGCTCCATATGTAGAGCATTCCAAATCAATCACATACAAGGTTTCATTTCGGTTAGAACGCTGCCTTAAAAGGCAGTAGACAGCAAGGCAGCTCGCTAGGTATTGGAGCAGAGCCATTATGTTTGGTTAATGGAGTTCTGTGCACTGTCTAACCGTTGACACTTCTCTGACTTAACGAATTACAATGGTAAGACAGATCAGGATGTCCTGGAAGTGTTCATCACAACAAGAACCTCTTAGGTGATCATACTGTATGTGTCTCTAGATCGTATCTGAACAATCTTTACTGATCGTTCGCTAGCTGTCGAGCACAAAAGCTTCCCTGATACGCCAACTCGGGACCAGGAGATGCCGCCGGGGGAGCTTATTGCTCAGCTCAGTCGCGGTAAAATACGAGGGCTTCACGATGACTTCTTCTGAGGAACGACGTGTTGGTGGAAGGCAGGTGAATCTCGGCGGGATGATGATGCTGGAGAGGATGTGAGGACTGAGGAGAAGATTCTCTCTCCTTCTCCCTCTGCGTTGGTGCGGAAGAGGAGGGGGAAACCGTTGATCTGCCTGCGCCGTTACGTCTCCAGCCAACGGATTCCATCTGAGGGGCGACACAGGTGCCCGTTTCGGTAGTTAAGGTGTGTGCGTGTTTGTATAAATGCATGAGATTAGAGATGTCAAGAGGAGGCAGCGCAGCCTCCATCATAGACTGATTGAAAGGCTGAGAAGAACAGGGTGAAAGAGCGAGAGGGTGAAATTTTCAGATAGATAGGCTACTCATCAGGCACAGCGCTGCTTTTCCGGTCAGTGGGAGAGCAAGCGAGAGAGAGAGAGAGAGAAACATTTGTGTGACGTGTGTGTGTTTGTGACAGCGTTCCCCCAGTGCGTAGTGGAGAGACAGGTCTGTGCGCTGACACTCACTCAAATGGGCTAATGCGCTTTGGAGCTGCGAGCAGGACCCTCTGGGAAACGTGTGTCGCTCGAACTGCCGGAGATGCTTTGAAGACCCGGATCTCTGCGCTACACGTGTTGAATCGCATACCTGCATATCCCTCTGCATCTTAGAACACTCCACACGCTTGTGCATTCGTGCAAACCATGGATTCTCTGGCCAACGACACGGACGGACTGGAGAACTCCTTGAAGTACTCCAAGTGTGACCAGACGGAGAAGATGTGGATTAGGCTGAAAGGAATGTAAGTGCTTCTTGTTTCATACTCTTTCATCAGCACTCGGTTTGATTCCTGGTGAGAGAGGGAACGGCAGAGCTGTTTATGAGCAGTGTGGTTGTGTTCACTGTACGCTGTGATGCTGGGAGTGGGTGAATCTTGACTCTTGGGGGCAGCAAGTGTGTGAATGTAATACTAATGAGACTGTCACGGCTAATCAAGCAATGATGTTGTTCACATACTTGCTTCTACTGACAGTTTTGCTTAATGAATTCAAATCATTCTTGAAGTGTTTCGGTTCAGCAGTGTTTGGATTGTGTCATTTTGTGGAGAAACTTTAACAATCCAAACATCATTTGTGGATTTAATTTTTAATGCAGACATCAAACATTGCACCACAAACTCTGTAGTTAGTACAATTATAGCTAATAATAGTGTTGTGCACAATACAGCACTACTTTAATGATAATTTAACATAATAAAGATTACTAAAAATTCCACTTATATTTCAGCCACAGTAATTAATAATATATAATTTATCACACTTGATACTACAAACATAAATAAAAGGATATACCCTTAGATGCATAAAACCACAATCACTGTAGTTGGAATATTTATAAATATCGTTAGTTGATGTGCAATTTAATATTAACTAAGCATTTCAGCTTATTTTTCTGTCATAATGACTGAATAATGAATAATTTGGCAAACTTAATATCAGTGTTATTCTAGTATCATTGATATACCGTTATAGTTTTTTTTAAATATATTTTAAATTCGATTTTATATTTATATTTTCCAATGTCATTTTAAGTTTTTGTAATTGTGTTTAGTTTTTGTCATTTTTATTAATTTTCTAAAATATGTCTGCATAGTTTTATGTTTTATTTTAAATGTATTTTATTAAAAAAATTTTATATATAAAATTTTTTCAGTTAATGTGTATATTTTTTTCTGGTTTTAGTTAATAACCCTGCTTCATATTCAAAACAGCAGCAAAATAATATTCTCTTGACTCTTTATTGGGTATCGATGATGTACGATATTAATTCATAATTGTTACGGCAATAAATTACCTTCCTAATACCTAATAAATAACCATCAGTCTGATGTTAAATGCATTGGTGCTGAAGGCAGTTTAATCAGACATTATGACCTACAACAAAAGCAAATTTGTGGAAGTTTGAGTCACTGAATGGCTGACCCCAAGATTTAAACCAGTCTAGCTCCATCACCTCAATGCAAAGCTCATCCAATCCTCTTTGGTGAACTCCATCTATCTCTACTGATCGCACTCGTCCATTCTCATCTGTGGTGGAGTTCATGTTTATACGTAGGTATTAATACGTAACATTTACAAGCACAAAACGTACACTTTTGTACGTTTTTATTAATGCTAAAACGTACAATTTAGACGTATTTCAACGTTTAAAACATACAAATCGCTACGTATTTTTAAGAAAAAAACGTACAAATATTTACGTATCGTAAAATACATACGAATTATCATGAGATCATGTTGGGTGGACAGTGTTGTTTTGGGATGTATTGAAATGGCCCTTCTGCTCAACGTCCAGGCCACAATTGTTCGTGAATTATGCAGGTGGTTTGATATATAATGAAATATATTAGCTAATGATTTGCAATATGTTCCAATGCCTGTATGCTCAGCGAGAGCCCTAGATTTTCAGTCTAAATCGCATCAGATAACAGCAGCTTCATACGATGACTAATTCACTGCAGTGGGAAAGTGAGAATTCCTTGAGATCCTGGCTTTGTTCACACTGGAAACAGAGCATGATGTTCTTGTCAGTCCTGAACTTTACACAGGTAAAACTACTTTCTCCCATGGCATGTGCTCATTATGGCTGCAAGCTAATGTGCTTCCATTTTTTGTCTTACAGGCAGAAGTACAAAAGCACATCTCAAAGGTAAGTCCAAAGTTGGTCTCTATTTGTGTCACAGCAATTCATTGGACCAAATGAACATTTCATGCATGATAAGTAATGAAGGCTAGATGAATCTAACTGCAATCTTATCACTCCAGCTGGGTCACTAATGGTTTCATTGCCACCTCCAAAGTGTGGGGGTTGCGTAATGGGTAAAGATCTGGCATGCTAACGTGAAGGTTGCAGCTAAAATCACGATTAAATGGGCTGATCAAGGAGCTGGAGAGATATTGACATTACAATCCAGCTCTTTCACCTGTGCCAATGAACATGGTGCTCCAAGGAGACCGTTTCTGTAATTAGGCTTTGTTAAATGGCTAAGCATCTCGATCCAGACAAAACATCAACCAGGAACGAGACTTTGGTGTTCTTCCATTTCCATGTGTGACAGCCCACACAATACAAACTGCACTTGCTGTCTGATGCTGTCTTATGATGTACGGATTACAGAAGTGGGGCAGCTCTGGAATGGAACGCTGAAGAGATTATCGCAACGCTTGCATGGCAGCTCTGTATTGATATTCCTCAAACATTCTGCTTAGGGTTTGTTCTAAAGCCCTGACACTAAGTATTGAACTGGAGCTATTGATTCAGCCTGAACCATTTAACATACTGACTTTATTCGCACTGTTTGGTGGATAATTTTAGCTTTGGGTGTACTTTTGTAAACTATAAGCTTCCATAGAACATTGATACACTCTTAAAAGTAAAGGTTCTTTATTGGCATCTGTGGTTCAATGAAGAACCTTTAACATCCATGAAACCTTTGTATTGTACAAAAGGTTTTTTATCGTAGAAAACGGTTCTTTAGATTATTAAAATGTTATTTACACTTTGAAAAAATGGTGCTGTTAAGAAGTGTTCACTGAAAGGTTTTTTTGGGAACCAAATGTTTCTTTTATGGGATCACTGCGGAAACCATCTTTTGGAATCTTTATTTTTAAGAGTGTAGAACACTCAGCATACGAAATAACCAACAGTGACATCATCATAATAGTCATATTCACAGTTGTGACTGGTCTTCTTTCTTATATCTATTTGAATATTGAATTGTGATCAGTCAGTAACCTTAGATGGAGACTTGACTCAATATTGGTAGGATTACAGCACACTATTGTAATGCAACAGTAGAATAATCACATTTTGTTGCTTTGCAATGGAGACGGGCACAGTTTTTGTTTTATCCAGCTGTATTTACTCAGTAAAAATGATAACATCCAAGTGAAAGATGTAACACCAACATAATAAAAAAACTGAATCACTGAGTTGGAAAAAGGATCACCCCTTTGTGTCAGTATTTTGTTGAACCACCTCTGGACTTTGCAATACTTACCCAACTCTTCTTTGCAGAACTGCTCAAGTTAAATTTGAAGGTGAGTGTTTGTGGACTGCAGCCTTCAAGTCATTCCACAGATTTTCAGTGGGGTTTAAGTCTGGGCTCTGGCTAGTCCATGCAAGGACATTTACCTTTTTCTCCTTCAATCACTGTGTGCTCAGTTTTGCTGTGTGCTTTGGGTCATTGTCATGTTGGAAGGTAAACCTTTTTCCCATTGACAACTTTCGGGCAGAGGGCAGCAGATTTTCCTCAAGAATTTAACGGTATTTTGCACCATCCATTTTTCCTTCTATCCTGACAAGTGCCCCATAACATGATATTACCACCTCCATGCTTTACTGTAGGAATGCTGTTATTTGGATGGTGAGCTGTATTGGATTTCCGCCAGACATATTGTTTGGTGTTAAGGGCAAATAATTCGATTTTATTCTCATCTGCCTCAGAATTTTCAAGGTGTGTTTTGGCAACACTCAGTCTGACTGCATGTGGCCTTTCTTTAGGAGTGGCTTTTTTCTTGCAACCCTCCCATACAAGCCACATTTGTGGAGAATTTGTGATATTGTCACATGCACACAATGACCACTCTTTGTCATAAATTCCTGCAGCTGCTTCAGAGTTGCTGTAGGCTTCTTGGTCGCCTCTCTGACCAGTTTCCTCCAGGCTCTTTCATCTAGTTTGGAGCGACGTCCTGATCCAGGGAGGGTCTGTGCTATACCAGATACCTTCCACTTCTTAATAATAGACTTCACTGTGCTTTGAGGCATTGATAAAGCCTTTGGAATTTTTTTGTATCCATCTCCTGACTTGTGCCTGCCCACAACCTTATCCCGGAGATCTTTTGACAGTGCCTTGCCACCCATAGTTGATTGTTTGCTTCAGTTGCACTACCAAGGACTTAAAAAATGCTCCAGGAAAGCTCTTTTCATGCTGAGCTCATCAAAATGACCACAGCTGATCACAGTTGAAAGCCAAATGGGTTTGTGTGCCATTGAGAAGGTGAGTTTACAAGTAATTACAAGTTTTTTTTTTCTGACATGTTGGTGTTACATCTTTCACTTGGATGTTATAAGTTGCACTGAGTAAAACAAAAACTGTGTTTTCAGTTGGCACAACAACAAAATGTGATTACCAACATAACAAAACAACATACCAATTAGAACAAAGTTTAGATAAAGCTCTAGTATTTTTTCTGAATTCATTTTCTTTATTTCATAAAATGTTTGCATAGTTTGTTTTGTTCCTTATAAATTAAATCCCAAAATGATAAGGATTTTGGAATCAAACTCAAGTCACATTTATTAAATAGTGCTTTATTCAATGCAGATTGTTTCAAAGCAGCTTCACATTAATAAACAGGAAAATAACAATGTTGTAAAATTCATCAATTATGAAATTACTTCAATTCAGCTATAAGCAAATGATGCAGCAAATTTAGAGACACATATTAAATGAACAGCCAAATAAACATGAATTAATAATATCTGCCAAAGCATTCAAAGTACTTACATACAGATGTAGTGCATAAATAAAACACGTGTCAATGCATTTTCTCTCTCGCACACATAAACACACAAAGCATTACTGACTCTGAAGAGCCCTGATGCCTTCACTGGCCCTCCTCTGTGTGGAAACCTCTGTCAAGCTCTTATGTGAAGGCCAATCAGAGCAGTCTAGTTCAGGTGAAGTGGCCCTCACACACCCCCACATTACTGCCTCTGATGCTAAACACTCGCCTGCCCTCAGTAACAGCCCCACATTTATGTAATGCACGCTGAGAGGTGCTACTCAACAATGGCCTTCCTTCAAAGCACAGCCCTCCACTATCAGTTAGGCGGACCTCAGCGTGTGCACTTCAGAGAATCTCTGGAGAGGATAAAAACATCTCTGCATCAGTATTCACCTCAGGAAACAAGAGTCGATCGGTAATTCATGTGTCAAAATAAAAAAACAAAAACAAAAAAAAGTAATGTCCCGAAGGTGGGAGAGGTTTATGTGGAAAACAGTGGTTACTGTAATTGGGTGAATCTCATAAAACAGGCCAGGAACAAGTCTTGGTCACATTCAACCCCAAATTCAAGAGAAAGAAATAAGATACATATTTTGCTTAACGACAAAGCCTTATTTAGAACCATTGCAAATTTTGTGACATTATTTCCCCCATAAATTCATATATTCAACCAGCATAAACATATGTATTGCATTACAGTATTTTTTTAATAATGAAAATCAGCATTGAAAAAAATGTAGTAAAAAAAAAAAACAAAGTAAAAAGTGTGCTGTGGAAAAAAACTATATATTATCATGTTATTGTGGAATTTAAGTTGTTTAAAATAGTAAAAAGTGTGCTGTGGAAAAAAACTATATATTATCATGTTATTGTGGAATTTAAGTTGTTTAAAATAGTAAAAAGTGTGCTGTGGAAAAAAACTATATATTATCATGTTATTGTGGAATTTATGTTGTTTAAAATAGATTTGACCAGTATAAATATATGTATTGGATTACAGTAAATGTATATATAATATATATATATATATATATATAGTTTTATGTTATTCTGGAATTTGTGTTGGTTATATTTGACTAGCATATATATACTGTATGTATTACATTACAATAACTTTTAATAATGAGAATCAGCATTAACAATAATGGGAGATTTTAAAAAAAAAAGAAAAGAAAAAAAAAAGTCCCTTAATCTCAGTAAAAAAAATGAATAAATAAATAAATAAATGTATTGTCATAAAAAAATATAAATTATTGTAAAAAAAAATAAAATAAAAAGTAAAATATCCAGATGTATTACAATAATGATAATTTGCTGGGAAATCGACTAATTGACTAAAACAATGCCAGAATTTAAAAAAATGTTCTAACAATAGGCTTAATTTCTGTTATGCAAAATATAATCTCTTATTTTTTTCTTTTCATTTTAAAATCTCATCCCATGAACATATTTTTATCAGATTCACCCTCTTGTAGATAAGATTACACCTCCAATTTTGTAAGTGGTTGTTTTGTAGTGTGAAAGGTACAGTATATTCAACCACAATTAGTCCTAAAGTGTGAACTTAAATAGAATGTGAGGTGACAGCTTGAGACACCTTATAATGGAGGAGATGATCAATCCAACTAATTATATCAGCAGTGCTTTAAGCACTAGGTGTTCAGCAAGCTGTCAGTAATGAATAATGTAGGGTGGTCTCATTGATTAAATGTCTCTAAATGATATTGAGTTAAATTCTAGATGGTGTTAAAATGAAGGATCCTTACTCAAATCTTTGGGAATATAGAAGATGTGAGTAATGTATCCACTAGAGGCCCCCATTAAACTGTCCCAACAAAGTTCATTGAAAACATTCACATGCATAATGTGGCTATTTAGCCTACTAAAAAGCATATTAAGAACCAACCTTATCCATCTCACCACCACACTCTCTATTGGCATATATAATTCCATGAGAAACCCTAAACAGCAATGGAATCTTTACAATGCGCAAAAAGTTCTTTATAGTGGAAGTTCTTTCTAAAAGGTTCTTTGGGGAACCCAAAATGGTTCTTCTATAGCATGACTGCAAAAAACAAACAAACAATAAAATAAATAAATAAAACCTTTTGGAACCTTGGAACCTTTGTGTTTTACTGA